TATGGATACCCAAATATTCCCCTTACGTCAGGGGGCACACCAAAAATACTTTTCCGCCGCCGCAAGCTTATGTTCTCGTGAGATCCCATCTTGGGGCCTTTTCCGATACTCTGTCGGAGGGGGATTCAATCACGGAGGGCCTCTACACCAACCTTGCTACCCTTATGATGATGTGTGAGTAGTTTACCACAGACCTACGGGTCCATAGCTAGTAGCTAGAGGGATTCTTCTCTCTCTTTGGTCTTCAATTCAATGTTCTCCTCGATCTTCTTCGAGATCTATTCGATGTAATCTTCTTGTGCGGTGCGTTTGTTGAGAACAGATTAATTGTGGATTTATGATTAGATTATCTATGAATATTATTTGAGTCTTCTATGAACTCTTTTATGCATGATTAAGATAGCTTTGTATTTCTCTCCGATCTATCGATTTGCTTTAGCCAACTAGATTGGTTTCTCTTGCAATGTGAGTGGTGCTTTGTGATGGGTTCATTCTTGCAGTGTCCTCAGCCAGTGACAGTAGGGGTAGCGAGGCATGTATTGTATTGTTGGCATTGAGGATAAAGAGATGGGGTATTTACCATATTGATTGGATATATCCCTCTACATCATGTCATCTTGCTCAAGGCATTACTCCATTCTTTATGAACTTAAGACTCTAGATGCATGCTGGATAGCGATCGATGTGTGGAGTAATAGTAGTAGATGTAGGAAGGAGTCGGTCTACTTGTCATGGACGTGATGCCTATATTCATGATCATTGCCTTAGATATCATCATAACTATGTGCTTTTCTATCAATTGCTCAACAGTAATTTGTTCACCCACCGTATGCTTTCTTCAAGAGAAGCCTCTAGTGAAACCTATGGCCCCCGGGTCTATTTCTCATCATATATTTTCAGATCTATAAAACCAAAAACACAAAAATACCTTCCTGCATATTATTTATATTCATTTTATTTTACCTTTTACTTATCTTTTATACCTATCTCTATTAGATCTCACTCTTGCTAGTGACCGTGAAGGGATTGACAACCCCTTTTTCGCGTTGTGTGCAAGTGCATGTGCATCTATTGGGGACTTTCTTGTACCTCCTACTGGATTGATACCTTTGTTCTTAACTGAGGGAAATACTTATCTCTACTTTGCTGCATCAGTCTTTCCTCTTCAAGGGAAAAATCAATGCAAGCTCAAGAAGTAGCAGGGCCCTAGGGGAATCATGGACGATGACGTGGGTTCGAGAATTACTGTGTGCGAGGGAGGAGAAGATGCAAGAGAGGTCAACCTATGAGAGGGTGTGTGTGTGTGTGTGTGTGGTTGTGGCATTGGGGGATGAGGGAGAATAAGTCAGGTAATGGTCGAGGTTGATGTGTGAGGCCAGGAAAGGTAAGGGTTGGCGTGAAGAGACGCCATGCATATGTGCAGGGCTCTTCGTCGTCTCTGCTAGGTTCAGGAAGAGGAGCTTGGTGGCAGCCCAGCTCCGCCATCTTGAGCCAGTCTAGGTTTGGAGATTATATGCCTAGTCATTTTGTTAGTCAATGACATGTGGATCCCGTTTTCATTTTTTGTGTCAACCGGTTAATCCATCCAATTCAAGAGTATTTGTTGGTCATTACCCATAGTCGGTGGTATTATTGAAAGCTTCTAAAGTCATGGGTTTTTCTTAGAAGAGGCCCTAAACGTGTGTATTGGCGCAATATCCTATGTAAGAATATTAGACGTGTTGCACTAAGAAAGCAAGATCAGGCTTATCATCTCTACTATCTCTTTACAACTTACAAAAAATCTTCTTTTTCCTCCCACACAGAATGCTTCATCCAATTTCTCATCCTTTTCTGAGTACCTTTTCTTGAAAACCACATTAACTGTCCCACCTCTTTATTGAGTTACCAAATAAACATATATTTTCTTTGATAAGCCAATAAGTGATTATCTTCCTTAAAAAAGAATAGCGTTCCTTTTCCTACTAGGAAGAGTGCTTCGTCCAACCATCCATTCTTTTCTGAGTACCATTCCAAATCCGCATTAACTGTCACACCTTTTATTTACTTCCCAAATAAACATATATTTTCGGTAAGACAATAAATGATTATCTATTCCTTATTGAGAAGAAGAATAATCGTCCTTTTCTTGCCAGGAAGAGTGCTTCGTCCAACCTTTTATCCTTTTCCTTAGTACCATTTTTTGAGAAACACCTTAACGTTCTCACCTTTTATTAACTTACCAAATAAACATATATTTCTTTGGTAAGCCAATAAGTGATTATGAAATCTCTCCATAATAATAAAGTGCGTACTGTTTCTGGTGGTCTGTCGCTGTACATTTTGCAGAAAAGTCCCCACAATTTCGCGGAATCAACCCACGGTCCCAACTGAAGTGAGAGCAGGAAAATGTTTCATATTTCTCATAAAACCCCCTGAGATTTCGGCTAATCAACCCGCAATCCTATTTTAAATGGGAATAGAAAGATTTTTGATTTATTCAGAAAACCCCCTGACATTTTGGTTAATAAAGCCATTGTCCCTCTAGAAAATAACATTTTTATATAGATTCAAATGTTTAAAATAATATTCATATCTTTTAAACCGTAACTCCAATTTTAACATGTCATATATGAAATTGATTAGAAAAATGTGTTGAATATGAATATATTATTATTATTTTTACCCATGGATCATTTTTAAATGTTGGTTAGGGACAGATTCAAATGCTTCAAAGAAATATTCATATCTTTTAAACCCTAACTTCAATTTTAACATGTTATATGTGAAAATTGCTTAGAAAAATGCGTAGAATCTGAATATGATGTTTATTCACATGATAATAATTTTTAAAATTTTATTTAGGATGCAACGTTAACCAGTAGTGCATAACCCATCTTTCTTTCGTATCGGTGCGATTCAAATTGAAAATGAACACCTCAAAACGACAAATTGGATACGAAAGAAACCATCTATGACCATGCATGTCCGTGAGCGAGAGTGTGAAGAAGGATAAATGACAAGACTGATAATATGTCATGTTAAAATAAAGGATGTGGACCTATTGGGGTCTTGAGTCATGGTTATTGTGTTAGGGGCGTGTGGTATTTTCTCTCTCGTTGCAACACATAGACTCTTTTGCTAGTAAAATCCTTAAATAGATTTAGGCAGGTAAATCACGGATCGGATTTGGTAACATTGATTTACACAATTATATTAATATGGCCAGATAAATCATGAGCTAACATAGTACTCCCTCTGTTCACAAATTTTGAGGTGTTTTTGATATTTCAATATGGAATATATTTTCAATATAGAATACATACATATTGAAATGAATGAACGTACATCTATATATGAGGGGAGCAAAATATTCACACAACATTACAAATCTCACGGGCAATTATCTAGTCTACAGGGGAGCGAAAAACTAAGCCAAGGGTGCGAACAATATCGTGGCCCATTACCATCCACGCGCTTATTCGCTAGAAGAATGACGAGCTTAGCTGCATCTTAGCTAGACGTTATAAGTGTGCCAGCTTACGCGTAGTTTCCAAATAAAAGCGGATAGTACTATCTCACGTGCTCCCAGATAACAATCATGCACGTGCTCGTGCCAGGCAAATATCTTGCACTGGCATGTTGCTGACTCGAAGGCCCTACTTGTCATAGGCCCAAACCGACACTCTCGAGGGCGATATACGTGTGAACCGGTGCTCGTTTGTGTGCGCGCGCGCTCGGTTAATCAGGTAATTGACCACAGCATCAGCGCCCAACTCCGCGTGAACACGTGATCGAGTCCATCGTGTGTGTATATACTCGTGATCGATTCCGGCGAAGTCGATCCCCACTTCCTTCTCGCGTTTCTCCTCCAAAAATAAAACAAGTTCCTTCGGAGGAGCAACGGTCTCGCGCGGTCAACTAGCTACGCTCCAATTCATTTGAGATATAATAATAGTAATGGACAAGGAGCAACAGCGCCATGACGAGCTCCAGGCGCCGCTGCTTCCCGGCGACGGCGGGAAGGCCGCCGCCGCGGCCGGAAGCGCTTACGCGCTCGTCTGCTCCCTGGTCGCCTCCGCCATCTCCGTCATCTACGGTTACAGTAAGCAAACCCGTGCGCCCTACCTGCAGATGATCTAGCCGTGTCTAGAATATGCATGTTTCCATGCGTGTTTGCCATGCATGCACCTTTCTACGTTTTGGATCAAAAAATTATTTTGATCTACTCTAGGTTCTGCCTGCCTGCCAGATATGCGGCAATTCATCGCGTCAGTAGATCAATTAAGAACACTCTTTTCATCTTACATGAAGACTATTCGTGTAAATTTGGTCTGTATAATGAAACTCGATTTCATGGAGTACGTGATTAATTTTTTGCCGGATCTACCTGGTTTGCGTGGTCGCAGATCGAGGTGTGATGAGCGGGGCGCAGAAGTTCATGCAGGACGACCTGGGTATCAGCGACGCGCAGATCGAGGTGCTCATCGGGGCCACCAGCATCTACTCCCTCGTCGGCTCGCTGGCCGCGGGCTGGGCGTGCGACTGCGCCGGGCGCCGCCGCACTATGGCGCTCTCCGCTGCCATGTTCTTCGCCGGCTCGGCGATCACCAGCGTCGCGGGAGGATACGCGGTGCTGATGGCCGGACAGCTCGTCGCCGGTGTTGCCTGTGGGTTCGGCCTCGTCGTCGCGCCCGTCTACATCGCCGAGATGGCGCCGGCGGCGTCCCGTGGCTTCCTCTCCTCCATTCCAGAGGTTTGCTCGATTCCTTGGAGTAATTGATCTTACGGCTGGATTAATTAATTAACTTTTGTAGCGAATTAGTTAATAAATTAACTATACTTGTCGCGAGTGCAATGCCTGTATGATGCTAGCTACAGTATATTCCTATTTTGGGCTGTGCTAGTGTTGTGTTAATAAAATACTACTACTACTATATGTTAGGTTAAGTATAGAATATAAATATTTTCTTAGATCGAACTGGATCCTAGGATTGCTGGATCAGTACGTATACGTGGGGTGGAGGAAACAAATACTACTCCTACTATTCAAAGATGATTGCAGAGAAAGACAGAGTGATTTTTTAATAAAAAAATCCTTGAGAGAGAGAGAGGGAGAGGGAGAGGGAGATTAATCATTGAGACGACTTTAGTTCGTACGAGTCACGTCAGACTAACTGTCTGAATTATAAAGCGAATACGAATCGAACTTGTCTTTTTGATGCGGGGAGGTATATCGAACTTATATCTGATGTAACGCAGAGTTATTATCCAGTCATGATTTGTTGGCACTTGGCCACACAGGGTACACATGCATGAATGCACCGCAAATTATTGTTGTGTCAAGAAGAGTAGATGAAAGGAAAGGAGGGAGAGTAAATATAATCTTACCGAAAGCAATGTATACAATCTATCTATCACGATCTGTAAGGAGCGGGGCATATCCATCCCTTGCTTTCGAAGAATGCCTGGATGATTCGAGCACAGGCGTGGGGGCCTTGTCATCCGCTCAAGTTCCGCTTTCCCGGTTAGCAGGTACATTACACATCCAACTGGGGCCAAACTGACAAAACTCGCCGTCTAGCTCCCATTACAATTTTTTACTCTCATGTTCTCATCGAGATCGTGAGGGAAAAGATTGAAAAACTAACAAATTACCTACTCCATGTGAAAGTAAAAGACTGGTCATATAAAGATCTAGCTAGATGTACGAGTGTCATTTTAGCTCTCATGGTATTTGCCTGTCAGTCATAAATTCATGTAGTAATTTCGATGGGTCAATACATGCTGTCTTACTCACCCCCTCTTTTATATGCCTGCCACGTCAGATCGCGGGCAACACGGGCATTCTGCTCAGCTACATCGCCGACTCCGCCCTTGCCGGCTTCCCCAACAACGTCAACTGGCGCCTAATGATCGGCGTCGGCGCCGTCCCGCCGCTATTTCTCGCGGTCGCCACGCTCCTCGCCATGCCGGAGACCCCGCGCTGGCTCGTACTCCACGGCCACCACGACGAAGCACGCCGTGTCCTCGCCCGCACCACGGGCGATGCGGCCCTCGCTGACCGCCGCCTCAAGGAGATCGTTTCCTCCGCGCGGGAAAGCTCCAAGCAGGCCGTTCCCGGCGGCAGCGACGGGACGACCCGGTCCACAAGCGTCTGGCGCGACATACTGATCCGGCCGACGCGGTCTGTCCGTCGCGTGCTGCTCGCCATCCTCGGCCTCCAGTTCTTCCAGCAGGCGTCCGGCGTCGCGGCGCTCGTGTTGTACGCGCCGCGGGTGTTCCACCACGCCGGAGTGACCTCCCAGTCTGCGGTTCTCGGTGCCACGATCCTCCTCGGCGTCGCCAAGATTGTGGCCATTGTGATCCCGCTCTTTCTGGCTGACGGCTGGGCCGGCGTCCCATGCTGCTCACCAGTGCGGGCGGCATGACCGTGTCTCTGCTCGTGCTAGGCTTCTCTCTTCGAGCGTTGCCGACGGCACACGCGGGCGGGAGCGCCGCGTGGTGGGCCGCTGCAACGAGCGTGACGGCCGCCGCAGCGTTCATGGCGACCTTCTCGCTGGGGTTCGGGCCAGTAATTTGGATGTACGGGTCAGAGATCCTGCCGCTCCGGCTACGCGCGCAGGGCACTGGCATCGGCACGGCGGTGAACCGGGTGATGAGCGCAGTGGTGGGGATGACGTTCATATCGCTGTACGAGGCTGTGGGCATGGCCGGAAGCTTTTACATCTTCGCGGGTGCGCAGCAGCGTCCTGGGTTTTCGTCTACGCACTCCTGCCGGAGACCAAGGGGAGGACCCTCGAGGAGATGGAGGCGCTCTTCGACGATTCCGCCAAGTCGCCATCGCTGACAACGCAGTGATCAATAATGTGCGAGTGCAAGCAGGCGCGGCGCGCGCGGGGTGAAGCTTGTAATTCTTACCGGTAAAGAATTGTCACTGTTGGTGTTGGCCCGATCAAGCAGTTTGTGGTATTTAGAGCCAACCGGCATCCTAGTGGCAAACCTAAATACAATGTGATGCTGAGGTCTCGGAGCACTGTTCAACTAAGATTGCTATCAACCCTATACAATGATGTGGTATCATTGATGGTATTAAGCTTCTCAAAGCTTTTGTCATTGTACTTTGCAGTATCTGTGATATTATCAATAGCGAGTGAAATGCGTCCTTAGATCATTAACTCATACTGATTGTATGCTTTAGCACATAGCTTAAGAACTGATCGATTTAAGCCATAAACACGTTCATTATAAATACAGCCTAAAACACGACAAGATAACTTTACGTCACAGTTTCTTGAAACTCTTTCCGTTGGAATTGATTTTGATTAGCACATCTTCTATCTCTATTTAAGCGGTTTCTCAACTTTATGGAAGTGTGATCATTTACTATGGAATTCATTCGTTCATTCTTGTTCGAATGTTAAGGCTATATGTTACAATTTCGATCCATTGATTCAGCTTGAATATATGTCTTTCAAGATGCTAACGGATGTCACCCTCTTCAGGATAGCTCCTCCAACGTGTCAGAATCCGGAACCTCCGCCACAACCTCCACCTCCGGAGGCATGGCAAGCTGTCATGGCCGCCACCAACACCAACACGCAGATGCTTTTGCAACTCTTGCAAGAGCGTAACCAAGGAAATCAAGGCCAAGGCAACAATCAAGCTCAGTTTGCTACCCTCAACAAGTTCCTCGCAAACCAGCTGAAGTCCTTCAGTAACTGTGTCGAGGCCACAGACACTAACGATTGGCTCGTGGATATCTGCAAACATTTTGAGTGTAGCAACGTCAGGCCTGAGGACTTTGTCAAGTTTGCTTCGTTCCAACTCAAAGACCAAGCTGCTGAGTGGTATCAACAATACAAAGATTCCAGAGGAGGTCATGTGATTACCTGGGATGATTTCCGTCGGGACTTCAAAGCTCACCACATTCCTCAAAGTGTTGCTGAGAGTAAGCATGAGGAGTTCCGCAATCTGAAGCAAGGCAGTATGTCTATTTACCAATACAACATCCTGTTTCAGAGGCTCGCTGTAACAGCCTGGATTTTTGCCCTTTTCTTTTTCTGAGATTTTCGGTTTTGTTTTGCTTTTCCGTGGCTATGTGGTTCTGAAACTTGGGAAGATCATGTATTCCTAGGTTTTATAGTGGCTTGTCACCCTCATCATCATCCCAAGATCATGTCATTTTCATCCTTGTCCTAACCCAAAATTCTTTTGTTGGGAATATTTCTTTTCTGATAAAGGAATAACCCTTAAAACCCTAGGTTGTGAAGCAACCTATATTTCTATCACTCCTATAATTCTCAAATAATTCTCATAAATTTTTTGGGTCCTATATTGCTCAAATATGGCAAAATATTTCATTTCCATGTTCAAAAATAATCCTCCAATAATTCTTTTCCTATTCTGTCCTAAATGGCACTTTGCAAAGGAAGTGCTATTTATATTTGCTTGATTGACCCCAAAATTCTTGGACAGCTTTTCCTGTCCATATCATTGGCTTATGCCAAAATTCAACTCAATTTGCCTAGTAAATATTCCTGAGCAATTTTTCAAAGTTCATGTCTGAAGGAAGTGATTGTGAAGGAAGTACAAGCTATACATATCCAAATGAGTTGAAATTTTGCAAGGTCCTTACTATTGTCAAATAATGACTCTCCTCCAAATATGAGATCATGTAACTCATCTATGTGATCCCAGATCTAAATCTTAGTTTCTGGTCAGATTTTCATTTTGTGACGCAACTATATTTTATATTGCTTCATTTAAGCTTAAAATATTCCAGGGCATTCTTGAATCCATATAAACTCCCTCCACCAAGTTTTAGCTCAACTAGTTAATCCAATTGCCCTGTGAAATTTTTCCAAGTTTCTGTCCAGAATGAAGCTTTGTGAAGCAAGTGCCACTTTGGTATTTTCAAATAGAATGAAATATTTACAACAGCTTCATGTCATCATATAACCCCTCTCTGCTAAATTTCAGCTCACAGAGATCAAGTATGTGAGTGCATCATCCAAATCCCTGATTCTGGCCAGATTTGCACTTCCTACTGCAACCCTCATCTAAGCTCCTCCTATTAGTCTGATTTTTGGTGATCAGCATCACCTTAGTATGTGATCATCATCAGACAAACTGGTTACCACTTTACCTAGCTGGTTTAACCACAGGAAGTTACAAACACCTTCTTACTGATTTACTTTTGGAGCTAAGTGCAAATCTCTTATTTTCCCCTGGACCGATTTATTTCTTCAGTTGGACTAAGGGCACCAAGGTCCATCCACTAGATATGGTTGGCCACGCCAAAGAGCGCTTCTTGCGCCAGTGCGCATGGTGATCACGCTTGCGTCATGGCTGCAGGCGAGCTCTGGCTTGTTCCGGCCACTATGCTCGTCTCCTCCCTCCTCGTCTCGACCTCAAACCTTGTCCAGGAGCTCGCCCGTGCTCGACTGCGTCTCCCTGAATCGGTTCTTCGTCGTGGTTCGCCATCAATGCGTTGTAAACGCCATGGCCGTGCAACGCCCTGCCTCTGCCCACCATTAAAGCTTGGTCGGGAGCTCGCTTGTGAGCTCCAGAGCCTTTCCCGCGGCTATTAAAATGTGCCCCGAGTCCCTCCACACCCCACCAGCCTCTCCCCAAGCCTCCTCGCCCACCAGAACGCTCGGTCCTTTCTTCTTTTCGCCGGAGTTCGCCATGGCCGCCTCGGCCTCGGCATGGTTCCGGCCAAACCAAGCCTACCCTCGCCGTTCCGAGATGTCCACCGAGTTCCCCTCATCCCACTCAGCCGCCCCACCCCTCGCCCCTCTCCGGAGATGGCCGCACCACCGAGTTCCACCACCGCCCCGACCGCCTCGGTCCTCTCTGTCCTCCTCTCCCCGCAGCCATTCTAGTCCTCCCCGGTACCCTCTACTCTCCGAATGGGTGCACGGTCCTCCCCCGAGCCCGTCGGTGCCCTCAGCTCGACCAGAGGTGGCCGGAGTTGGCCGGGCTCATCACCGGAGTCCGCCGCCTGTGTCCTTGTCCCCGCGAGCGGTCGTCGCCCCTGCCTCTCCCCAACGCTGCTGCTGCTCCAGGAGGAGGCGATGCACCGTCCCGTACCCTCCGGTGGCCGCGCCCTGGCCGGAGGTGGCCGGAGCCGGCTGGCCCCCTTGCCGCCCCTCCCCTGCTTCCTCTCCTCTGCTCACGGGAGCACAGGAGCGAGAGGAAGGAGACGACCCGATCGCCCCCACCCCTTGCCACCTCAGCGTAAGTGGAGACGAATTTCTCGGAATACGTTTTCCTCTAAGGAAAGCGTACTTTCATTCTACTTCACCTTTGAATACATTTTCTTAGTTCTGAAAATGTATTCCTCTGAAAGGCGTTTTCTATTTTCAGCCGTCAGGGACTTGTTGGTGATAAAGTCTTCACATATTGGTCCCTGATCTTCAACTCCTCACAACTTTTCAACCGTAACTCCGATTGAGGTGAAACCAGCGCTCACTTCTTCGTATCATCGAGCTCTATCTTTTGGTAGCATTTTCACTAGGTGTTCTCATAGTGAAAATGACCATTTTGCCTTTGCCCCTAATCAGCCCCCTCCGAGAACGTACCGTCCGACGTGTCGTTCCGCGACTTCACTGCACTTCTTCCTGGAGTCTTCATCACCCCAAGCAAGCCACAATACCCACTTGCATGATAGTCATGCAGTAGCCATGGTTTTCAACTTGAATATTTATGAAATGTTTGCTTGCTTAAAATATGGTTGTACTTGTCTCGATAATGCTTATGGATCCATGCTTACTTTCTTGCTATGTTGTTATGCACCTAGTTGTCATGCCCTGCTAGTTGCTAGTATTCTTTTCATATGTGTATGCTTGCTAGTAGTATATGTTGATGTTGGTAATGGTCTTCGGAGCATGACTGTCGTCTGTCCCGGGTACCGTTGTTATGCATGTTCCATTGCATCCAGTTGGTTAAATGCTTGCATGATGGCATTGTTGATATGTTCTTGCATGATGTTTATTTTTGATGCTAGTGGTCATGTTATGCTATGAGTAGTGTTTTACTGGTAATATTCATGCTCTTCATTATGCCATGCTCAGTTGGAGATGATTCATTGTTGATATGGTGGCTAGTTATGTTGCACCCGTGCTTATGTTGATATCATGCTCATACATTGTAATTGTATCATTTTATTTTATCATGGCTCAGCATATTTGCATTCAAGTTTAACCGTATTAAATTGAATTTGAACACCTGTTGGCTGAGTCATGGTGCCACCATATCGAACTGACCAGTGCAACCACGCTTACCTTTATGGGAAGGTCCTAACTGGGTCTATTGTCGTGCCTCTCGCCGGTGCCTCCAACTAGGGAAGGTTATGGGCATGCGGTACTCTGGCCTGGTAAGCAGACATAACCTTGTGTACTCGTTGTTGTTATTATTTCTCCTACTT